CCTAACCGAATGAGCCACCCAGGCGCCCCAAATCCGAGGTATTTTCTAAGGTTTTACTCAGCAATCTGTATCGTTGGAAAAGGGGGAAAGTGCACCAGGAATTTAGTTACCCTAAGCTGGGACAATCACTGAAAGGAAGGGCATCGGACATTTATTGGACACTGTGCACTGGATGTTGCTTTAGCCCCTCAGGACCCTCTGAGAAAGGCATGATTGGCACTTCAGTTAAGGCCCGATTCCCTTTCACCCCTTCCGTTGTGGGGCCACATTCCTCCCCAGGAAGAACCAGGAAGATGGGAACAGCGGCCACTGCGACCGTCCCTAACGCAGGTCTGTACTCGCACCGCATAGGGAGTATCTGTGTCCTCCCTATGCTGTTTCCCTTCTCCCCAGTGCCCATCATTAATCACATCACTTTACATTTCCGTGCCCTCAGGAAACTTCAAAACACCCACTTGCTTTTTAAAATCAATTTGGAATCAGCATTTGGAAGGGAATACTTTGATTCGAGAGACAGAACTAGCCACACTGGATTAAAAAATAGCAGCTTCTTGTTCAAGTGAATCTGCATCCAACCTTGACAAAATGTGTAGAACTTCAAAAATAAATGAACTATTTCTTTTGAACAATTTTTAAAGTATTTATTTATTTATTTATTTATTTTTCAACATTTTTAATTTATTTTTGGGACAGAGAGAGACAGAGCATGAACGGGGGAGGGGCAGAGAGAGAGGGAGACACAGAATCGGAAACAGGCTCCAAGCCATCAGCCCAGAGCCTGACGCAGGGCTCGAACTCACGGACCGCGAGATCGTGACCTGGCTGAAGTCGGACGCTTAACCGACTGCGCCACCCAGGCGCCCCTAAAGTATTTATTTTTGAGAGAGAGAGCGAGCAAGCAGGGGAGGGAGAGAGAGAGAGGGAGACAGAGCATCAAAGCAGGCTCCAGGCTCCGAGCTGTCAGCACAGAGCCTGACTCAGGACTCAAACTCACCAGCTCAGCCGTGAGATCATGACCTGAGCAGAGGTGGGACCCTTAACTGAGCCACCAGGCACCCCATTACCCGTGTTTTGTTTGTTTTTTTTTAATGTGGCTGCTAGAAAATTAGAAGGGACAGCTTTCCCCCACATTTCCACTGGATTTCCCTTTAATTTTTTTTTTTTTTTTTTAAGAGAGAGAGAGACAGTGTGAGCGGAGGGGCAGAGAGGGAGACACAGAATCTGAAACAGGCTCCAGGCTCTGAGCTGTCAGCACAGAGCCCGATGCAGGGCTGGAACTCAGGAACCATGAGATCATGCCCTGAGCCGAAGTCGGACGCTCAACCGACTCAGCCACCCAGGGCCCCTGAACAATTTTTATTAGAAATGTCGTTATATGCTTTCTGTGCATCTTGTTTTCCTGTTTATAGATAGTATTTATGGACAAGATTGGCAATGGTTTGATGGCTACTGGACACGGTTAACTGGTGTGTGGGGTTCAGTATACTGTACTGATTTCGAGCACAGGCAAAGTTATCACTGAGGGAAAAAGACTCCACTTGTAACGACCAAATTATGGCATAGTCACACGAACTATTAAGCAAGTGCTAAAACATTTTACAAATAAATTCTAACCTATCTAAAATAATTACTTTTGGCTTCTGGGATTAAATGATTTTACTTTACTTTCAAGGTAACTTTTTTTTTTTTTAATATCCCAACTTTTCATGAGGTAAAACCCAGCTACTTTCCATCATCTATTTGATTCATCATCTACCTAAGCCTAATGTTTTAAAATTTCCAACCGTCTTAAAATTAAATATTTTTGCTGCAAACTCATGTAACACCATTGCCAGGCAGATGTACCTTTAGGATCTGTAAGGATCAAGAGAAATGATCCATATTTTGGTTTCACAATGCTTATTTAATGGGAACAAAACATCTAAATGTCTGACAAATTATATTCTAGAAATAAAATCCTATGCAGTGCTTACAAATGCTATGCAAGTATATTTATTAACAGAGGGACAAGTTCACAGTATAAGAAACATTACAGAATAGGATGTATAATGACATCATTTAAATCTGAGAAAAATGCATTTTTTTTTTAATTTTTTTTTCAACGTTTATTTATTTTTGGGACAGAGAGAGAGAGACAGAGCATGAACAGGGGAGGGGCAGAGAGAGAGGAAGACACAGAATCGGAAACAGGCTCCAGGCTCTGAGCCATCAGCCCAGAGCCTGACGCGGGGCTCGAACTCACAGACCGCGAGATCGTGACCTGGCTGAAGTCGGACGCTTAACCGACTGCGCCACCCAGGCGCCCCGAAAAATGCATTTTAAAATACTTGTTTAGAGGGGAGCCTGGGTGGCTCAGTCAGTTAAGCGTCTGTCTGACTGGCTCAGGTCACCATCTCCAGGTCTGTGGGATCAAGCCCTGTGCCAGGGCCTATGCTGACAGCTCAGAGCCTGGATCCTGCATCTCCCTCGCTCTCTGCCCGTCCCCCACTCATGTTCTCTCTCTCTCTCTCAAAAATAAACATTAAAAAAAACCATTAGGGGCGCCTGGGTGGCTCAGTCGGTTAAGCGGCCGACTTCAGCTCCGGTCATGATCTCACGGTTCTTGAGTTCGAGCCCCATTTGCTACTATTAGCACAGAGCCTGCTTGGGATTCTCTCTCCTCTCTCTGCCCCTCCCCTGCTCGAGCGCGCTCTCAAAACTAAGTAACACATAAGAAATAAAATAGGGGCGCCTGGGTGGCGCAGTCGGTTAAGCGTCCGACTTCAGCCAGGTCACGATCTCACGGTCCGTGAGTTCGAGCCCCGCGTCGGGCTCTGGGCTGATGGCTCAGAGCCTGGAGCCTGTTTCTGATTCTGTGTCTCCCTCTCTCTCTGCCCCTCCCCCATTCATGCTCTGCCTCTCTCTGTCCCAAAAATAAATAAATGTTGAAAAAAAAAATTTTTTTAAATAAAAAAAAAGAAATAAAATAGATGCCTAGTAAATGAATTATGGGTGCTTTTGGCTTTTGTCTGCATTTGAGTTTTCCCCCAGTATGACTCACCTGTGTACTTCAATCACACACATATATACATACCTTCCTCCGTGTACCAGCCTACTCTCCCTAATTTTTGTCCCCATGCCCACATTTTTGCACACTCTCCCCTGACGGTGCTACAACAGACCATCTTTTCTCTGGGGCCTCCATGATTGGCAGGTCGTCATACGAGGCACCAAGTTCTAGCAGTCAGTCTTCTGATTAACCCACATTTGAAAGGTCAAACTGAACCTCTGACAAGCCAAGGGAATGAAGTGTTCTTACTGGTTTTGCTAGTTAACAAATTGAAACCGGATTTGTTTACATTATTAAAAAGCTATCTTCCCTGTCCTTTCAGGATGTCTGAATTGACATCCATTCAAGCATTCTTATCTTTCAGTTCTTTTTGCTCACAACTACTTGTTTAGAGGAAGAGATAACTTTTTGTAGGTACCGATTCTAGAAAATATGCCTTGGGTGCCTGCCTCAGTTGGCAGAGAATGTGACTCTTGGTCGTGAGTTCAAGCATCATGTCGGGCTACAGAGAGAACTTAAAAATTTAAGATGCCTCAAAGTAGCTTGCTTTTTCATAAAATAAGGTGGGGGTTCATTTGTTCAGAAAAGGATGCTCAAGGCAGGTAGGATCTAGTACTCCCAATCTTTCTACAAGAAGATAATCTTAGATAAATCTTCCTGAAAGAAGTAAAAACAAAACTCTCTTATACTAGTAAATCTCTTTATTAGCAGGGAGTCCCGAACCGAGAAAACCTGTGACTGTAAATAATGATCAGTTCCTAGGGGTGGTGAGCGTTAGGTCGTACAAGATGGGTCGTAGGGTTAAAATTCTAGTTTTCTTCCCATTGGTTTTTAGAGATGTTTATTTTTGAGAGGAAGACTGTGAGCAGGGGAGGGGCAGAGAGAGAGGGAGACACAGAATCTGAAGCAGGCTCCAGGTTCTGAGCTGTGAGCACAGAGCCTGATGTGGGGCTCGAACTCACAAGTGGGGAGATTGTGACCTGAAGGCAGATGTTTAACCCACAGAGCCACCCAGGCAGGTGCCTGGAGACCACTTTTAACTGCTATGAATAGACAGGTGCTAGTGAAATTCTGGTACAATAAAATTCTATCAAGTATCCCTGCACAGGGAGAATGTTTTCAGTTCAGTGCTTAAATTTACATACCCAAACCCTGTGCTATCTGTACTTAGAAACTACAGGCAACTGTTTATCCTGCCTCCAGGCCCTCTGTGGAGTGAGGACCACGGAGAACTGGGCAACATGGCTCCCAGGCCCTGCCCCCTCCCCAGGGGTTACTACAGCCCTCCTGTGGGCGCCCCTTCATCCCAGGTCAACATCCTCTTTCCACTGACGTTCCGTAGTTCCAACGAAGGGGCCGCACTTCCCCCCTCCCTATGAAGTTGCTCAAAATAGCCACTCCCGTGGGACAGTCTTAGCAGAGGTGTGAGCCCTTGGGGACTCCTGTTTCCAGCGCATTCTTGCCCCCCAGTATTCACTCCAGGGCAAAATAACATGTCAAGTGTTGAGAGGTTTAAATGGTTTCCAGGTCTCCCCTTGTTCAGTGGTAACCCTGGCCTGGTGCTTTCTCTGGCCGTGTGTGCATTTGCCGATTCGGCACAGGTCTCCAATACTACCTCTTGAAGACCATTTACACGGCAGAGCAGAAATACGATATATATGAGAGCAAATCTCAGAATACGCAAACACAAACCACAGTAGATGCAGTTTTAGCTTACTCAGTACTTACAAACTCACTTCATATGAAGAACAAAGAGTTACGTTTCGTTTGCTTCAGAGGACGCTGGACCATTTGCTCACTATTAAATCAACTTAGGCCAAAGTATCTTCAAAGAACACTGTACATGTTCAAGTATTACAAAAAAAATTAAATACTCCACTTTCAAATTTTAAGAAAACTCTGCAAGAACAAATGTGGAAATTCTTGTAATAAAATATAAGGCAGAAGTTAATTTATGTGCTTCAAGAAATTCTTTCATAATTGAGTTTTTATTTGTTGTTCTGAGGATCAGTACAGACAATTCAATTTGTACATAATTCTTAATGTACGTACCGAAAACCTAAAAAAACCATGTAGCTGTGGTTCTTTTCTCAAAGTTATTCCAGTGACCTTCCAGCTTAAAATTTGGAGGCAAATTTCCCTTAACAGTATATCAAGTACCGGTATCTTCAAATGTTGATATGCTGTTACACTGTTAAGTCCCATTAATTCACAATTTAATGTCATATACGCTACATACTCAAATTTTCAATCTCACACAGCACATTAACAAAGTTACTAGGAAACTGGACTACCACGACCAAGATGTTACAGAATGCACAAAATTCTGACAGGGAGAGCCAAGATCAAGGAGTGGTTTTCTTTAGGAAACAATTCTACCAAAAACAACATGGGAATAGAAGTAATTTAAAATGTTCAAGACATATTAAATGCACGACTGACTCCAAATTGCCATTTAGTATGCTTGGTATTATAGGATATAAAAACTACCCCATCTATGGAATGTTAAGCTGACACCCAAGACGATCAAAGCCTCCCATATTCAATATCCCACTATTTTTCTGGTTGTACCAAAAAATAAACAACCAGAAAATGATTTCACCTCTTAAAAAAAAGCATTTACACTTAAAAAATGGGATGAGGTGGGATTCCCTCCTTCTTAAAAATGTTTCTAGAGCTACTAAAAAACTTGCATTTACAAAATAGTTGATAAAAATATTCCTCTGGATTGTACAAGAAGGGAGACAGGGACCACTGGTAAGACATGGGATATGATACTAATCAGACTTGGCTTCTTTCTCTCCTGCTTCATCAGAGGCTGGACTCTGCAAATCAAAGAAAAAATAATGATCAAGTATTTGATTTCTGGGTCACTGTTACGATCTCCAAGATCTTTAAAAAAAAATTTTTTTTAACGTTTATTTATTTTTGGGACAGAGAGAGACAGAGCATGAACGGGGGAGGGGCAGAGAGAGAGGGAGACACAGAATCTGAAACAGGCTCCAGGCTCTGAGCAGTCAGCCCAGAGCCCGACGCGGGGCTTGAACTCACGGACCACGAGATCGTGACCTGGCTGAAGTCGGACGCTTAACCGACTGCGCCACCCAGGTGCCCCTGATCTCCAAGATCTTTAAAATTTAATGCAATGTAAGTTTTACTTCTATGTAATTACAGGTGACCCTCGTTATATGTAGATTCTGTATTTGTAAATTTGCCTCTTCACTAAAATTTGCAACCACAAAATCAATACTCATGGCACTTCAATAGACTTAAAACTTTCTTTGCAATGCCAAACATGCACATTCCCAGCTGGGATGGTTGCTTCAGTTCTAAACAGGTGCCTTTTTTGCAGTTTATTTAAAGTGCCATACATTTCACATTTCTTTTTCTGTGCTTCTTGATGTTGACTGGACGAATATGATACCATCTACTATGGCTAAATGCAAGAAGGTTGGGATGTGCCTTATGCAGAAAATACGTATGCTGGATAGCATCATTTCGGCCTGAGTTCCAGTACTGTTTCTGTCGGCCCAGTTCAAAGCTGATGCATCAACAACACGTAGTCAACAGAAACACACGGTTTATGCATCAACTGTTTGATGGAAACGTGATCAGAGTGCAGCTAAGAATCTAACGTCGTATTTCCTCCATGTGCAATTTTTCAGTATTCACACAACCTTCTAGAACACAACCGCCATGAATATTAAGAATCAAGTGTAGTGTGATAACATGTACCGGATGGTCAAATTCTTCCCTAACAGCTAGATTAGTAATCTCATCATAACATCAGTGGATATTTGATGTGTGGTCAGAACTACAAATTAAAAGTAAAAAGTGGCAACAGATTTCACAAGTTAGAAACCAGTGGTTTGTTGTTTTAAGATTTGATCTATAAATGTTTTTAAAATACCATACACTATTTATCTTTCCAGGTTTAACCATTAACATTAAAAAAAATGCTTGGCTTAAGAAAAACTATTTATTGAAACCTGTGGCCTATTTGTTTAAGAAAAGGCCTCTTCTCGTGGCTTAAAAACGTAACGATTAGGGACACCAAGTCTTTTTATTTGCTTGATCTAAGTTATTATTTAATCCTAAAACAAGTAGCCACTTTTAAGAAAAATGGACTTATCTGAAATGAAAGTGGGAAAAATGTCCCAAATGAGGAATGGATTCAAAACATTTTTGAAGCAATATCCAAAATAAAAACATGATTTTTAACAGTTCTATAGATGGCAATTTCAAAAATAAGGGCCTAGGTTGTTTAAACAATATCCCAAAACATGAAAGAAAAATGAGTGTTACACCATTTGGTATATTAAACCTTTTAAAAATTAACTCACGTCAGTAGTTATTATAACGAATGTTGCGTACAACATACGCTGTACTTGTGTGAACTTGTTACTGGTGAAATTCTGAGCATATTAAAAGTTCTTATTCACTCCTTTAAAAAAAATCATCTACCTACTGATTTTAAATATCTAATTAATAAAAGCCATCTGTCTATTCATTTGATGTTACCGTACAAACCTTTGTTAACACTGTAAGAAAAAGACAACAATAAAGACGGTCTCATCTGCTACATAAAAATATACAACAGATTATCTATGGTTCAGAGTCAAATCAACACACAGCACTTCTGACCTCCTCGTTTTTAGTTTCTCCGTTTTCTGCAGGTAAGTCTTCTTTTGTTTCTTGGTTAGCCACTTCAGCCTGTTTTCCCTTTGCTCCCCTTTTCCCCTTTGTTTGCACTTTTTTGTCTGAAGATTTCTCCTAGGATACAGTAAGAGTATATTTTAAGTAAAAACTTGGCACCAACATTTTCTCAGTTGCTATAGGGCTAGTATCCCCACAAGAGTTGCAATGTCAACACGATGTCACACATCAGCCTGAGATCCAGGACACATCTTTTACGGAAGACACTCTAAGGTCCATCCCCACTAGTCAGGACAACATCGTTCGCTAAGAACTCTAACCGTACTGGCATTATCGAGCCTCATTAGACTTCTGTTCTCTAAACCTAAAGCCTGAGCTACAATCCTCCTCGGCCTTCTCAATCATCCACTATTCTCTGAAGTTCCACATGAGCAAACAAAGGAGGAAATCTCTTTCCACTGTAACCCTACCCATCCCCAAACTTCTTTTAAGCCTGAATAATGATCAAATTGTCATATATCCACTGTCCTGACAAGATGTTCACCCTCACAGTAAGACCATTCACCTGAACACAGCACCATGTTGTGTGGTCAGGTTGACTATCCTGCTACAGCTAATCCCTTGATATTATATAATGAGTAGCTAAAAGGATCAATTTTGAGTTTATCGTTTTCATTCAGATGTTTGGAAAATCTGAAAAGCACAGGTATTAGTATGACGATAAAAGAGGTTCAAAAATGTAAACCACTTTTAAGCAATATTAAAGTGTTTCTGGATACCCTCCATCAACGGGGAAGGAGTTTAAATCTTGACATTTATTCCCTGTAAATGAAGAATGCAGCAACAGCTAAATTAAGTTAGGTCACCAGGGAGTTGTATAAAAGAGCCCTAACAGTACTGACCAATATTTGAATTAAACAGCCACAAAGACATGCAAACAGGTCAAAGGATTTCAATGCTAAGGGGGCGGCAGGGGGGAGGGAGGGGGGGACCAGTATAATGTATTCTAAACCAATGATGGCATTCCATATATAAAGATGGCATGACAGCCACTAATAATACACGAATAAACTATAATTTCTGAGGACTGCCCGGGTGGCTCAGTCAGTTAAGCAACCGACTTCAGCCCATGATCTCGCAGTTCGTGAGTTTGAGCTCCACACTGGGCTCTGTGCTGACAGTGCAGAGCCTGCTTGAGATTCTGCCTCTCCCTCTCTGTAAATAAACTTTAAAGACTAAGTTTCCTTGTTAGGTGTCAACACTCACATGAGGGAAAATAATAAAATTAAAAAAAAAAACCTATAAATTATAAATATAAATATTCAGGACAGCACCGCTCATACTGGTACCGTGAAGTATCACAATCACTTCTGTACTTACAAAACCATTCTTCTGTAATCTGATCTCTTTAGATTTCTCATTAATTTTGTAACCACTAGGGCACTAATGTAGAAATGTAAAAAAACCTTAAAAATGGAAACGAAATATATATACAACAATAACCTGGACTAAAACAATACCACTTTTAATTACCTACGGCAAGACAGATGAAACAAATCAATGTTTTCCTAACATACGTATGTTTCAACCCTTAAAATAATTCTGAGAATTTTATGCAAGTTATAAGTACATACACAGTGGCAAACACATACTTTGAAAACTGTGTCAGGGCACCTGGGTGCCTCAATTAGTTAAGCGTCCGACTTCCGCTCCCTCGGGTCATGATCTAACAGTTCACGGGGTTTTGAGCCCTGCATCGGGCTCTGTGGGGACAGCTCGGAGCCTGGAGTGTGCTTCCGATTCTGTGTCTCCCTCTCTCTGCTCCTCCCCCCACTCACTCTCTCCTCTCTCTCTCAAAAATAAATAGTAACATTAAAAAAAAAGTGTCTACACTGTAATTAACACATCAAAATATTTACCTTCCACTCAGGCTTTGAATTGGATTGCCTCTGAAAAATGTATTCTAGAAAGTAAAGTAAAACCAAGCCCTCCAACCCCACATTTTTCCTTTGGCAAAGGAAAATTTGTCAACTGAGTTGACAAATTTGTTCCTCAAGGAAGACCTCCTGTTGGCCTCTCATGGACAGAAAGAAAAAAGTGATTACACCTGATGTCCCAAACCCAACTGAGGATAAAATGTGAGGATAACATGAGGATAACTTTTTTCACCAAAAAAATTTGTAAAGTAAATCAAAATATAGGACAAGGAACAGCAAAAAAACCTAAGAGGGAAACAATCATACTTCTTCAGCAAATTGGTTTATTGAAAGAACTCAAAAGCATCAAAGACGGGTCATAATAGTACATCGCTCATTCTATCATCGTGCAACAAGATCCACTATTTTTCTTGGCCATTCACGGAAAGTTCCCAGGCTACTTTAACTTCTTATACAAAGATGTACTGCTTTATCCTCTAGTGTGAAAAATACTAAATTAACGTACCATGCTTACACCTTCCGCAAATACTTAAAAAAAAAAAAATGGAACTTTCTACGGGAAAAGTTAAGATTTTTCTCAGTTCTGTACAACGTTTAAATAAAGAAACTGAAAACAAACCTTTGGCCTATGCAGTGCTAAGCTTCCATCTATGCTTTTAGAAAAGGGGCCTAACACCACAAACTCTCACTTAAGCTGTGAGTGAACAGTAATCACACCATGAATTTCCCCTGAAGACCACAGGGCTTGGCAAAGGGCGGTTTCGATGCTCCACCTCAAATCAAAGTTATAATGATTTACATAGATTTTGTTTTCCCAACTTTTCAAACATATACTCAAGAACAATTTCATTCCAAAGACTTTCAAAGCGAACAACCCAATCCCGAATCTACTCCAGGGAGACAACTATAATGTCGTTTAGGATTAACTCAAAAGTTTCTTCGGGGGAAAAGATGTAGGGTACCCCTCTGAACACAGGTGTTCCCCCTCCAGAACACCAAAACAAACCCCTTACCCCTGCACACGGGATTCCCTGCACCTTGGCTTGAGAACTTTAATCACCAAAACCTACGTATCCCCTTTCTCCCGGTCGCGATCCTGGCTTTGATGTTTACCGTCACAAAAGTAGGCACAAGTATGCATCGAACGGGCAAACGCTAACCGTGACGTACAACGCAAAGACCAGATATCAAAATTGTTACTACTTTCACTCGTCTCGAGCCTTGAATTCTGCAGCACAATGAAGGTAATGCGTTACGCTCCCGTGAACCAGTAGGACCAGATCCATTATTGTTTACCCAGGCCAAGGGGTAAAAAAAAAAAAAAAAAAAAAAAAAAAAAAAAAATTGTCGCTGCAATTATAAAACTTCAATAAGAAAACAGGAGACAATTTCCACTTTTCGGGCAAGTGTAACATCTGATTACTCTGAGACTTTCAAAGTCAAGATCTTAGTCACCAACAATGTCACAAGACCTTAGAGTCGACGCTAATGACTTTTTATTAAGAGAAAGTCACGCGTCGAGGGGCGCTGCAGCATTTCGAACACACCGCGGTCCCGTAAGTTTGAAACCTACCTTTCCCGCCGCCTTTTTTGGCTTCGCTTCCACTTTTGCAGGAGCAGGTTTCTGAAAGGCAAAGGTAGCACTGAGTGTCTTCACTGGGCACGACCCCACGGAAAAGACACGCTTACGGGGCTCGCTTTACTTACAGCTGACAACCTCGCCGACCTCCTCTTGGGCTTTAGGAACAAAAAGGAAAAGGAGCAAGGAGTGAGCGGGGCAGTGCGAATGGGCCCCACCCCCGGGCACAGACGCGGGCTCTTACCTCCTCCTTCGCCGCCCCCTCGGCGGAGCTGACCTGCGGAAGGAAGCACACGGACCAGTGGGCGCAGCCCGCAAACAAAAGTGCCCGCGCGCCCTGCGCCCGCCCGCGAGAACAATGCCCGGCCGCGTGACGTCAGCGGCTTCCCGCCGCCGCGTTCGAATCTCCCACCCGGCTCTTCGGCCGCCGAACGTTCCAGAACATCGCGACCGGGCGGCCGCCACCGCCGCCGGGCGAGCGCGCGGCCCGCT